AGTGGCGGAAATAATCTGCCATTTTGTCCGGGTACTCAAACCACAGACCCAAGTACACCTCAGGGGAGACTACTCAAAATCCCAAATTGCTGAATGTCTTGGGCATCCATATCCTGAGTCACACCTGCTCTTCTCCTGTGTGAAATAGGATATCTTGAACTCAGAACTGGTAAAACCAATGTGGATTTCTTTCTTGGTAAGCTGAGGGATTTGAATATTCATACCATCAACAAGTTGACTTCCAGTAGCTGATACAGCAGAATGTTTAGGAGGTTATGTATGACTGCTTTTTTAGTGGAAAAAAGAACTATAGCAAAGGACAAACTCACTCAGCCCATTTGTTTCAGAGCAAGAACTCACATGAGTTACATCTTTCATATTTTAGTTCATGGTAATAAGTTTAAAAGTGGCTGTGTTTGCCTTACAGAGGATGCATTTACATAATGTAATTGGGATGATGTTTCCATAGGCATTTTGTTATTGCAAGAGCTCTTTCTAGGTGTTTTATAGGCGTAGCCTTATATCTGTGTTTTGGTTCAAAGTAATGCATTTACCTTGTGATTCAGAGGGCTAAGAGAAAGCACCTGGTGAGCTGGACTCATAGTTAAGCACTTGAAACACCCTAACTCCAATACATTTTATGATAAATTTGAATAGGAGAATTCAGACATAACTGTTCCAAACAAAATAACTGAACAAACATTATTTCCAGCTTTTAGCAGCAAAGAGAGATATGAGTCCAGAAAGATTGAAAATGGACTCATGAAAATTTCTATCTATTTCATTTTACTATTCTTGAATTTAGGCTTTGTGCTGACAAAAGGGAGAGAAAAGCATACTCAATTAGTACCTTCCTCAGCAGCTCAGGAGGAATGTTATCTCTTCCTTATAAGCAAATCAGGGAGAGAAGCCAACTGGTTCAGAGGCAGGACTTGACATCAACGTAAATAGCAATCACAGATTAACGGTGCATTTTGTAACACCTGCTTTGTTTCTTCCAGCTCTGCCTTCTGAGGTGAATCAATTATGAGAACTGTTTCATTTAACTTGAACAACAGAATAAAGAAAAGTGAATTTCTGGTCCTGCAGGCTGTAAGGAAGTGTTTGAAAATGTAGCCCATAGCAGGATGAAGTCGTCCAGTTACTGGCAGGGTTATAACCCATGTCCCTTTCCTCCCCTGCCAGGAAAGCAGCTCCTTCATCCTCCCGTAACTCTCCCTTTTCTCAGAAATGTCCTGGTTGCCTTCCATGTCCGTTTGGTCCTCCCCCAAAACAAGCAGAGCTCTCAGCTGGCCGTCCCTGGGCGCTGCTGGCCAGGCAGGGGTGACAGGCTGCGGATGCTCAGGGCGGGCGAGCGGCGTGCTGAGCGCTGCCGGGGCAGCACGAGCTCCCTGCCTAACGAGAGCCTGCCAAAAAGGATGGGTAATGCTTGGGCTCTGCTCGCCTTCTCCTCAGGGAGGCCATTAGTAATCTCCTTTTCCTCTGCACAGTCACTGTTTTTCCACATAACTTGCAGTTACAGCATGTCTTTGAAACCTCTTTATCAAATTTGTAGGGGTGGGTTTGGTTTCTTTTCCCTTTTTTCAACTTTTTTTTTTCAAAGATTTTTTTTAAGGTTTTCCAAAAGCTCATGGTGGAATGGGGAAAGTAGAGGAGAAGTTGCCAGGTAGACAGATGTATGCCTTTTTCCTTTACAAAGAAACATTCTTGCAGCGCTTGATTTTGGGGGCCTGAGCCATGATCTTCGCATAGTCAGGATTGGGAATACTATTCACTATTGGCAGGCACAACGGGTAGAATGATACAAATCCCAAAGATAATATTAAAATGCCATAAAGTTCAGTAAGATGTGCATTTCGTTTTTAACTCTTCTTTAGTTTTGCTAGGGAAATGTCTTAGGGTTTTGTTGTTGAGGTTTTTAAAAAATATTTTTTTGCCTCATTAATTTTAGAACAACTTTTACCTGGTCTCTTCATCACTTATTTTTTTTTCCTTTTCTATCACCTACTTCTGTAGTCATCCCTTTTCATCACTTGCAGTCATTGCAGTTTTTCCAAAACCACTACAATTCCAGTCAGACAGAAAGATAAATCACATATTCTATTATTATTATTATCAAATAAATAAGATCCTTCAATAGCTCCTGATCAAGTGCAACTCTTTGTGTTCTTTCCTAAATTCTCAAAATTTCAGAGAAAAAAAGAATAAGCCAGCAACCAGAAAAGATGAAAAATATTTTACTAACAGCCTACAGTTATTCAGAGTAAATATGAAATGCATTTTATGAGGGAGATGGAAATATTGCTCTCTGTTATGCAGCTGCTGGTGAATTCTGGGGTGCTTTTGTCACCCCCAGTCCCTGTGCTACCACTCCAGCTGCTATTGCTGCCTCCTAAACAGCGGTGCTCAGCAGGGTCTGTTTGCCACCATGTGTCACCTGAGCCCTTGCTCTGAGTTCCCTGGGGATTTGGGCTTACAGGAGAGGGCCTTGGCCCTGCAGCCATAACTAAATGCTGCACAGAAAGGAGCAAAGGCACTCTTGCTTGCAGATTAATGGACTCTCTAAAGATTGGGAAAACAACCTCGAAGCTCTGCATGTTCATGCTGGCCAGCCAGAGCAGGCAAGGTCCCAGTGTGGCTGCAGAGCACAGCCCAAGAGGGTCACAGTACTGAGGCACTGCTTTGCTGAGCACCTCTCTTGCCCCTCTCCCTCATGAGAAGGGCAAGAAAGGTTTTTAGCCATGATTTTTTAGCCATGGTCTGCCAGAACATTGAATTACTTTCATATTAATGACTGCATCATTATTTCCATCATTATTGATGGATCATTATCTGAAACTGTTTCTGGTGTGAAACCTGGTACCTGTCAAACTTTCCACTTGGGGTAGCTTCCCTTCTATAGCCATATGGTTAAGTTTAGTTTAAAATACAGAAATAATTAAAAATAATTTCATTATCACATTAACCGTAGAAATAGTAAACAACCCCCAACTTAAATCCCCCCCAAATTCAGCGCTTTTCAGAAAGATTCTTAGTCTAAATCATCCTATGCATCTTCCACAAAATCACATTTCCATCACTTGAAATGCAGTAAGAGTCTGTTTTAAAGATGTTATAGGCATGGCAGGCAGTTTCTTGTTCCAGTGAACCATGGCCCATTTGTGTTACCACATGCTGAAAGTAGCTGCCTTGTCTCTGTGTAAAAACCAAATGCTCAGGAGCTAAGACAGCAAACTGCTTGCTTTAAACATGAGTTTTGGTTAAAATCAGAATATCAGAGTCTGACCCTAAAGCTATGTGCCTGGCATGTATGAGCATGATACACAGATCACTTGCATCAACTTTACATCAGGGCAGGACAACCAATTTTAATTGAATATTGGTAATTTATGGCACTGTATGAGCTGGTTATGAGCTGAATATTAGGCTCAGTTCTGTGGTATACAGTGAATTTGCATGCCCTGGAGAGGTGATAAAAAAAGAGTATGAATGACCAGTCAGAAAAAAAAATTTTCAAGAGTTCTGTCCACATCTTTACTTATACCAACATTTTTCCTATATAAACACGTGCAAAACCCGTTGTCTGACATATTTTTAGGAGTACTCAGAATAGGAAAAGAAACTCTGTGAGAAACTGAAAAGTCAGTCCTAACTTAGGCAAACTTTGGCATATTGCATGAAATTCCGGGATTTCCCTTTGCTGTAATACACAGATTCCAAATATTCAAATATATACAATGCATACCAATTCCAGGGTTTCTGTTGGCTGGGACATGCAGCCTGCGTTGAGCAGTAACCCCCTCACCCCCCCTCACTAAGTGTGAGTTCCATAATTGTTGCTAACAGCTCATCAAATGCGAGCTACATTTGATTTTAACATCAAATGTAAGATTTTGTAAGCCATAACATATGCAATCACACAGAGATATGTCTCTTATGCAGAAAGCACATTAAAACTGTATTTTTTAACATCTAAGTGGGACATAAGAGAATTTCTAAGTATTTGAGTAGAAAGTAATAAATCACAGAGATATCACTTAAGCTGACATAATACAGAGACATTTTGAAGAAAAATAAAAGGTTACATGGAAAAAAAAAAGATAAAATATTTAAATCTCTACTGGTTATTTAAGTCTTTTAATGCTTTCACTAATAATGAAAAAAGCAAGTCAAACTACTCCTGTGTAATATTAGAGTGAGTAGCTAAAGATATTCCTTAAAAATACCTTTGCTACTAAAGATACTTAATTTACTGCCCAGAATTCTGGTGACAGCATGAAGAGGGGACAGAATCATTTTTCATTACTGACTGTTAATTCAGTAAAGGATTTGTTCTGTGGGTTTTGATATATGCTAAAGGGGTAAACAAATAAGACAGACATTTGCATAGTGTCTGATATGCACAAAACCTCCAATACTGCTTTAGCTAGTGTCCTGGAAAGTGTCCTAGTAAGGTTTTCTGAAATAGGAACTGCTGAATAGATCTCAGTTGTTGAACTACATAAATTAGTACTCACTGCAATCCATTTCTGAAGTATAATTTTGCTGCCTGCTAAAAGTAACCTCAGGATTTTCTTGTAAATAGAACAAACTTTCAACTTAGAAAGATTGGTAGAAGCCTAAAGCAAGTTTAGAGCAAGGTTACTCTTGATTCATAGTACAAGTACACAGTTAGTATAATATTTAAGAATGACAGTGCTGTCTTTCAGTACTGCTGTCCACAATACTTGGAAATATATCCTTTCAGAATGTGAAGGCATATCCTCTGCGAAGTACCCAGATAAATCAGTTCACCCTTGGCTGTAACTAAACGCTGTCTAGTGACTTGTGATCGACAGGGCTTTACCCTCTGACAGCCAGATTCATTGTTGGGACAGCAACCAATCGTCGGGTTTGACGACATGAGCCTAATCAAAGTTGGAGTATAAAAAGCCCCCTTGGAATATATAAGGTACACCAGTGTGGCAAGCTGTCTCTCAGATTGCATTTGCTTTCACGGATCTGTTTAGTACTGAAAGGGAAAGGGGGAGGGGGAAAAAAAAAGAAGACAAAAGTGCTGCACTGAATGTGAGATCATGCAAAAGCTAGTGCTCTATGCTTCTGTTTACCTGTTCATGCTGATTGCAGTTGATCCGGTGGCTCTTGATGACAGTAGTCAGCCCACAGAGAACGCTGAAAAGGACGGACTGTGCAATGCTTGTACGTGGAGACAGAATACAAAATCTTCCAGAATAGAAGCCATAAAAATTCAAATCCTCAGCAAACTGCGTCTGGAACAAGCTCCTAACATTAGCAGGGATGTTATTAAGCAACTTTTACCCAAGGCTCCTCCACTGCAGGAACTGATTGATCAGTACGATGTGCAGAGAGATGACAGTAGCGATGGCTCTTTGGAAGATGATGACTATCATGCCACCACCGAAACGATTATCACAATGCCTACAGAGTGTAAGTAACCCTGCTTCTTTCGCCTCTCACTGCCCCTCTGAGAGAGTTGTCTCCCTGCTGTACAGCCACACAACTCCTCCTCAGGCTCTCCCAACAGGCTGCTGGCTGAAGTCTGCTGGAGGGAGGGAGGAGAGCGTTATTTCTAAAGAATTTGAGCCAGGTTCAGATGACTGTGTGGCAATCCTTTGTTTTACCGTTCGGTTTTCAGCTCCTTATAATGTGTGTGCCCTGTAGCACTTAGGATTTGCCCATTGCCTTAGAAAGCAAAGGGAGATCTGCAGTTCAGTCAACTTCGTTATCTGCAGCACTCGGGGCATTTCCTCTCACAAATATAAAGTACAAGTGCAGATAACGAGAGAACTAAATTTTTCTGAGGGAAGTTTCAGTGGCCAGTATTTTTAGAAGGAATAGAAATCAACAGAAATGCAGCTTAGAGCACTACACCTACCGAACTGCAACATGCTACAGCAAGTGCAAGCAGAGAGTTAAATTCTTGCCTCTTTGCTGATCCCATAAACTAGCACCACCCACCTCGGAGTTAAAACTATATATTTAAAGCAAATATGTGTGTAACAGATTAAATGTAAAAATGTCCGTGCTACAGCAATCAGCTCATGTAATCGTGCCAAGGAAGAATGAAGGCATTTACTGAATGAGCAGATTCTGAGTTATCTTCTGAGTGCTAAACATCTGCTATGCCTCCTATCAAGTATCTTTTGCACAGCTAATACTGTAGTATCTTATGTTCTTCATCAGCTAAAGTTATTCGACTAGGGCAGCTGTTTTTTTAAATAACACTTATGAATATGTCGTCAAAAAGGAAAAATATGACAGGACATATAAGGCATGTTAGCAGTTACAGATATCATTACGATATGCAGACTAAAATAATATCTGCTGCTCTCACCAGCTAAAAATGAACCCACAGATTAAAAACAAAAATTCAGTGAAATGTTTCAACTTAATTACTAAGATGGGCACTTAGTACCATTATTTTACTGCAGCCTTATAACAAAGATGAGGTCTGCCTGCATTTTCATTTCAGACTTTTATGTTCAAGGCTTTATAACTATTTTTAATCAAACTGCTACACATTTACAGTGACTGAAGAAAAGTCGTTGTATTTCACTGCTCTGAGTTCATTTCCTACTTATAAAAAGCCCTTGAGCTATTTTAAATGCACTAAAGAGACAGGTATCTTAAGTGATGAGATTTATGAACCCTAAAGTCCTGTACCATTTAGGATTAGTACTACCCATTTTATCCTGGCATGGAAAGATCTTGCCATGACTAGGTATGACAGCTGCATCGTAGGCTACAGGAAGGAGGAACGCAGCACTGCATGTGACTTTAATATTCAAATGAAAACAAAATGATCCTTATATTAATCCCCTCAATTATTTTCTTCCCACTGAGAAAAGAAATGCAAGTGTTTGTGCAGTTTGCCCAGGACTGTATGGTCTGCAGCAGGCTGAGGCTTTGGAGTAAATTAGAAATAGCTGGATCACCACACACATGTTGAGTCAGCTTATGCAAAGTTGCTATTCTGCATGCTTTATGAAGGTCCTCAGGAGGTGACCAGCAGAAGTGAATTGGTAGTAGGTGATAGAGTATTTTTGTTGACATCCACTGAAGTTGCTGTAGACTGTAAACCATAGAAAATGAGTTAACTTAAATCCACTTTGTTACTGGTACTCTTTATAAGATATTGTAATAGTTTTATACAGTCTGAAAAAAATAGCCAGGTTTATATACGCATTTTTTCTTGTTCCCTGTTGAGTAATCTGTTCTTTCCATTCATTTATAGCTGATTTTCTTGTACAAATGGAGGGAAAACCAAAATGTTGCTTCTTTAAGTTTAGCTCTAAAATACAATATAACAAAGTAGTAAAGGCACAATTGTGGATATACTTGAGGCAAGTCCAAAAACCTACAACGGTGTTTGTGCAGATCCTGAGACTTATTAAGCCCATGAAAGATGGCACAAGATATACTGGAATTCGATCTTTGAAACTTGACATGAACCCAGGCACCGGTATTTGGCAGAGTATTGATGTGAAGACAGTGTTGCAAAATTGGCTCAAACAGCCTGAATCCAATTTAGGCATCGAAATAAAAGCTTTTGATGAGAACGGACGGAATCTCGCTGTAACTTTCCCAGGACCGGGGGAAGATGGATTGGTAAGTCTATTTAGAAAAATCCCATTTCATTGAAAAGCATTTAAGCTCTGTTTTAAAGATAAAATAGATGCATTGTTTAGGCAATGGAAGATAAAAGTTCTGTGTATCCAATTCTTTCATTCTTTGCTCTCTGATCATGCCAAAAAATCAACAGCTCTCCTCTGCGTCTGTTTCCCTATCTAAAAAATTGAGAGAAATTGCAGTATTTCAGAGAGACATTGCAAAGCATTAACTAGAAAAGGTTTTGGCAATTACTGGTAGATGATGCTATCAAAGTAACATTATTTTCAATTTTGAGAGCAAATATAGCTTGATGAGCAGCTATTTCACATAAAGAAAAGTCTTTAGAGTGTTTCACTGGTTAGGAAAGATGCCTCCAATACAGCTGAGAGGCAAGGGAGTTCCTACATACTCTCTATGCATATATTTTCTATTAACAACAAAAATATCTCTTTATGAAGGTGAGAACAAATCTTCTTCATAATATCTTCATAATATTAAGTTCTTTACCTTTCAGTATTTGGTAGAGTGTATCATTCTACCAATTAGAAGGGTCTGAATAGAGAAATTCTGCTTGATACAATAATTGAGTCATGATGATAAGAAAGTGCACAAAGTAACTGGTTTGTTTCTATAAGAGATGAACAAGTTAAATCTGAAATGTACCTACAAGTACACTTGAAATAAACCTGAAGTGAAACTACAGCATTTCCATTCCTATTTGTTTCTGTAATCACTATTCATCCACAACCTATACAAATTTCTATACTTGCCACAAGCAAGTGATACCTCCTTTTGCATAAAGTATGAAGAATATTATTCTACTTTTACTTCTATGCAGTAGATGAATCTGTTGATCATAATAATTTAGGTTGGAGAAGACCATAGTGTCCAACCATATTTATGCAACATTTAACTTCACAGCAGTATAATATAATAAGTGTTTAAAAGAAAAACTCTGAGATATCTTAATTGTACATCCAATATAAATGTGGATCTCCTGGATTTGAAACAGGCCAGCTGGGTATCATGATCAGGAATGTCCTTACCACCTCCATCCATACAAATGATGATACATACAGATAACCCATGACTATCATCATTGATAAATAAACATTTCAGTGGCAGAGCAGGGTTAGAGGCACAGCTGATAACGGGAGAGGAAATGTCTCTTTCCCCAGCTCCTCTCCAGCAGCTCCCAATACAGAGGTGCTCCTCTCAGCAAACACCTCCCCATATAATTTACCTTTGGAAAGGGCCCTTCCAGCAGCTCCACAGCTTGCAGGGAAACAGCTTGAGAAGGAAACCTGCGTAACAAAGTTAGCTGGGCTGTTATTCCTGAGGAATGATCTCCATGGGATGGCCCCATCGGTGCCAAACCAACTCACGGGGCAGAAATCATTGAGTGGAAGGCAGCAACTTTGGGAATTGAAGTCGCAATTGTGGGGGCTGCAATTTCCTTCTAGTCCCAGTTGGTGACTGTGGAAACACACCTTCCGCAGGAGGCATGTGGCTCAGGAATCTGCCAAAAGTACATTCCTGGCCACAGGACTCTTCCAGGAGTCAAAATGTTTAGCTGCCCCTCCAAATTCATTCAGTCATAGAGTCATTCAAGTATGGCAGCAATACTGCCATACTTGAATACCTCCTTGGTCTGGACAAAAACTTTCCTTGATATCCAGAAAGCCTGAATTCAATATGATTTTCAGGAAGGGAATTTCAGAAGGACTCACAAAAGCTCTTATTATGGAGTTTAAAACAAAGTAAAAAAAGCCACATCAAAAGTAAAAATCCAGCATCCTCCAAATTTCTGAAATGTTCTTATAGTAGTTAAAGAATGTTAGCACTGAGACAGTGGTGATTTCAGGGACAAATACACAGGTATTAAAGCTCTGTATAGAGAAACAGCAGGGAAATGCAGAGAACTAACACAGAATCGCAGGTCAAATTTTGTTTGCAAACATCACTTCAGAATATCAATTTGATACATCTACATCTTAAATATTGCTTGCATGTTTTTAGTGAACTTGGGCTTACCTCAGAAACGATTCCAATTGCTTCTCTTCTTCTCACAGAACCCATTTTTAGAGGTCAGAGTTACAGACACACCAAAACGGTCCCGCAGAGATTTCGGTCTCGACTGCGATGAGCACTCGACAGAATCCCGGTGTTGCCGCTACCCTCTGACGGTGGATTTTGAGGCTTTCGGCTGGGATTGGATTATCGCTCCTAAACGATACAAAGCCAACTACTGCTCCGGAGAATGTGAATTTGTGTTTTTACAAAAGTACCCCCACACCCACCTGGTGCACCAAGCCAACCCCAGGGGCTCGGCAGGCCCTTGCTGCACGCCCACCAAGATGTCCCCCATCAACATGCTGTACTTCAACGGCAAAGAACAAATCATCTACGGCAAGATACCAGCCATGGTTGTAGATCGCTGCGGGTGCTCCTGAGATCCTCGCTGGATCCACCGCTTCACGCGTTGTGGAAGCTACCAAAAGAAAAAAAAAAAAAAAATTTAAAAAAAAAGGAAAAAAAAGGAAAAACCAGAAAAAGTTATACCCCCTCACCAGTCTCTCAAACTGTGAAGTACACAAGGCATTGCCGACCTCCTGCGTGCTACCAGCAGCAGTTACAGAACGTGAACTAAAGGACAATGTACCTGATGGCTGCTTGTGAGCCAGTAAAAGAGAAAAGCTACAATCAAAATCACCGGATTTAATCCACAAAGTTCTTACATTATGAGGGAATCAATATTCAGTTATTTGGATGCAAATTTATATGCAGGTTTCAGTACACATTGGTAATCAAAAGCAAGCTCCTTCTCACCTGAGGACAGAAGGAGCAGGCTTTTAGGTTCCTTTCTTCACAGCTTCACTTAATATCATATTTACAGGAACATATATACCGGTAACATATACACCACTACACAATACCACCAGAATCATCCTTAAACACTTGAATATATAGTGCAGACTTGTGAAATGTATCAGATGAAATTCCACATAAATGGACAAACCCTGAAATTAGGGACGGCATAGTATATTTAGCGTGTTTCCATTCCTTTTTCTCATTAGTATGTTAGTAATCAATGGCAATGGTGCTACATAAGCAGGCTGAGTAAATAGAAAGATAGTTATATAAGCGAAGGAATTTAGGCTTAATAATGAATTTACCCTATCCTCAGGTACACTATTCAACATTCTCAAGAAATAGATATTTTTTAAATGAAAAGGAATAGTTTTCTAGACATAGAAAAACAGAAGGCAGCAAAGAAATCCAAAATTCAAATTGCAATCCCACATTTTAACCTGCCTTTGCAACATTACCGTTTGCACTATGGTAAACCAATGCAAATAGTTGGTTGCTACAGATATTGTTTAAAAACCACTTTGATATAACTGACTTGTGTAATATGTATGCATCAATATTTTGTAAATAAATGTTTATTTTTTAATCACTGTTGGTATATGTTCATCACAAAAAAGAATGGCTTTAACCTGTACTTTAGTTTAATAAACAAACCCCAATATTCTCTTCATAATAAATTTTCTGGATTTTAACACAAATAATATGTAGGAACAATGCAACAAACTAAACCATATGTTGAGAATTATTCTACATTTTATATGTTTTTTACATTGGTATGAGCCATCTAGCATAAATGATGGCTGTTGACATGTTTATAAGGTTCTTTGGGTTACTGTTTTTATGGTCATTTTGATCTACAACTGAATTTCCATATTTTGAATGTTATGTTCATAAATAATAATGATATCACAAAAGATTGCTATTAAATGCATTTTATTATATTTAAAAGTTTGCAGCAAAGTATTTCCTGTATTTGAGTAAACATAGTACATGGATTTTCACACAAATTCTGTACATTTTCCTTATAGTAAAAAATTGTTAATTGAAATTAAAAAGATCTATTTACTATAAAGTCCATTTTATTTCACATGTGAAATAGAACTGATAAACCAGGTGTTTAAGACAACACAATCACTGTTAAAACATCTTCATGTTAGTATGATGCACGTTTTTGTTATATTTCAGAAATCAGTTTTGAATTTTCCTTTGTGTAAAACCACCCTTAAATTGCAGAACTGCTTCATTTTCTTCCCTTCCTCTTTTATATATTTTCTGCCTCAGTGGTAAATATTTTGTACTGATTCTTTTTTTACTTTTTTAAAAAATTTGTATGTAAGGACATTAAAACTTAAAGTTTGAGTGATGAGGTTTGAAATTTAAAAGCAAACAGATTTTCTGCAATTTCTTTTGAATGATTAGGAGTTCTGCTAAAGCTGTATCCAGGCATCAAGCAGATGTTCAGCTTCTCCCGCTACAGTTCACCAGAGCAGGTCCCTGGGGCCCTTAAATACACTTTCAATTTAGTTTCCCACAAAACACCATCAGACTAAATAAAAAATCTGAAAGCTTTTGGAATACAGACTCTCAGCGAAGCCAAAAGAATTAGAAGTAAAACACAATTCCCCTCCTAAACAAAGTAACAGAATTAAGGGAGAAATCCTCCATTTGTTAAAGTCAATGGCAAAACCTCCACTGGCTTTAACAGAGACCAAACTTTTGCCCTCTGACTTTTAACTCGTGACATTCAGGCACCAAGCAGTGCCATCCTGCTCATGTGAACTATCAATAGCATCTCCTTGCATGAGGCTCTTAAACCATTCAGAGACTTCCAATTAACTTCCATATACCCTGTAGCTAAACATTCACTGCTTTAATTGGGCCAGTTCATATAGCAACAGCTGCAGAGATACAGCACCGTGGATTCTGCAGATAGGGAACAAAATATATTCCCAGTCTGCACCAAAGTCCAGTTACAACACCTGCAGGATTGGTTTCACTCATGAGAGGTAAAGCTAATGTCAATTCATTTGTTTCCACACAAGTAACATCATTGGCTGCCTGGTAATAACTGTACCCTGCACAAAGGCAGTATACAGAAGTGATGGAATTTTTTATTCCTGGAATTAATGAAAGCAAAGTTAAAGCAAGAAAATAAGTAGCATGAATTCCAAAAAGCATCTACTCCAACCAGCATCCCATCTTGACACTCAGACAAATTTAATTCCTTGTAAATTTTATGCAGAATGCATCTTTTATATTTTGCCAAACTTGAAACAATCATAGAGCAATTATGGCTCCCATGATTTAATATTGACCTTACAGATAAGTGGGTCCTCATGGAACATGCTTTGATCTTTATTTTAGCTGCTGAATAGTTAATTATCAATGTGTTTATTGACAATCAATTTAAGATCTCAATGATTCCTTCTGTTCTTATTGTTACATCCTTTTATTTGCAAGGCTCAGGTCTGAGAGACTTCAGCAGCTTTTTTGAATACTTTGTACAGCTCTCAAACCTCACTGTTAAGCTGTGTATTCAGAATAATGAAAATACCCAGTGAGGGATGATGTGTGAGGAACAGCATCATTTCCTTGCCTGGCATGCTAAGAATCCCAACAGGAATGAACCAGGTAGAGTCCAGCTTTCCAAGGCAGTGTCCAAGTGCCCCAAGATGCACGTGCACACCTGAAACAGGGCAGTTCCTCATCTCTGTACTGCTCCAGTTCTTCCTCTTGGCTCTACTGCCCAGCCCTTTCCCTCCCAACATGAGCCAGTCCTTTTCCAGGGCCGTTTGACTCCTATCTCCCACCCAGCTTCAGTTACAGTGTAACTCGAGTAGCAATTCCCCTCCCATTTCACACAGCATCTCCCATCCCATCCCTCCCCAGACTCTTGCCCTGCAGCCCCTTTTGCAGGGGGAACAGCCCCCTGCAGCACTGCCCTCCTGTCCCTTAAGCAGATCCAGTGCATCCTGCTCCTGCTGGAAGCTGTGGTTAGGGGAGAAACCTTCCAATGTGCTCAACAGAGCCTGTGGGGAATTTAACAGCTGAACACAGAAGTCATCACCACTAAGCATAAATGCACTGAAATTTTTCACAGATGGACTGTTTAGCTAAATATGAGCAGATTTCAAAGGAAGAACTAAAGGCCAAATCCATTCATAGCTTTAGGTAGCTTTTCCTCAATTCTGTGGAGTTTAGGTTTGGGGTTTGTGGTTGTTCATTGGGAAATTGGGGGTTTTTGAAGGTTTTTATGTGTGGTTTCTTTTTTAATCAGACCTTGGATGTGAATGACCTATTTTGGCTAAACTTCTCAAAAAATAAATCTGCTTGAGATTAGGTTTGGACAGCTCAGTCCAGGCAGATAAATTTTGTTAAAGCTGCAGTATAACAAAGCAGGTTATTATAATCTGAAGCACTGATGGACAAACTTCAAAACCAAAATATCCTACCTGAACGTATAAAGTTAGTACCTTTCAATAAAAATAAGTTAGGAAACAGTACATTATGGGAGGCACAAGCTAGGAGCTTTACAAACAATGCTGTACCTATGTAACTCAGCAAAATTGTCAGGAAGAACCTTAGGGATGTGTTTTAACTGACTCAGGTTAGCTCTGTGTTTCCACTTGAGCTTGCACCCAACAATGTTAACTGCAGCAAGCAGGTATCTATACATTGATTTAATACCAGCAATGAAACCAGTAATGCAACTGCATCTGCTTTTCTGTCAAGGCTTCCCCTGCAAGAAGTAAGACTACAAACTCTGGCTTGAAATGCAAGTGTAACATGCTTGAATCCATAAAATTAAATGTTAACAAACTCTGGAAACACTAAAGCTCCAATTCTCCCATTTAGTTTATAAAAGCCCTGACAAAATTCAAAGGAAAAAGGGCTACAGGCCAATTTCTGAATTTGAATAGGCAAGAAGTACAGCTCTGTTCACTCTTGGCCACTTCTAAATAATCTCAAAAAAAAAAGTGATAGTGCTAACATCTGCTGTAGCAATCTTGCAAAACAAAAAAAAAGAAAATGGAGAAGTGCAAATGTACAGCTCATTTACCAGTGAATGACACCAATTAAATACTAGGTGTATTGATGAATTGAACAGAATTCTTGTCTTTGGTGGCTAGACAGTGAATTTGAGGGATGAAGAACTACTACAGTGACTATAAAACAAAAAACCTGCCTGTTTTTATTGCTCCAGAATATAGATGAGAACAAGTAATGAAGCCCTCTGTAGGTGAGGTGTCAAGATCAGCAACAAGCCTTGCAGCATTTTGGGTGTAAGTCTGGCTAATTCTCACCAGCCTTAGCCACTAAGGCTCTCTGAGGGTACAGGAAAAACTGTTCCTTTCTTTACAAGTGGACATAACTCTCACACTGTACATGCTTTCAAAACAGTGCTTTCAGAAAATACAAAATAGCTTAGTGTCCCTGAGTCAGCTTGTGATCTTGAACTCGTGCTCTTAACTTAGAGACTCTGTGTTATCATGAATCAAAAGTAGTCAATGGTCCTAAAAGCTGTTGCAATTTCTCCCCACAGAAATGCCTTTCACCTACAAGTCAATAACCAAGTAAGATTTCAAACCTGTAGCTTTTCCACTAT